TAGGCGAAATATCCATTAAAAACCGTAAGTTAGGTAAACTGTCCGTTAGGCAAACTGTCCGTTAAGCAATGTGTCTTTAACCAAACTGTCCTTAGGCTAAATGTCTTTAGGCAGATTGACCGGCCACGTATCTGTTGAATATAAAAGTGATTACTAGCAAAATTTCAGCAGACTTTCATGTATCAATCGCAACTTATGGGTTATTCTGTAAGTAGCGATTAGATGGACGATAATAAGAACGAATGAAAAATAAACCTGATTTCCTCGGTGCATTGCACTGATGCTTCGAATAACCAACAATGTATAGTTCTGGTAACTGAACGATCTTATTGCGTCGAATTGCATCATGCAGTCTCGAGAACCAGCGTAGCTGTACTACATCATTTGTGAATCCAACTGAAATTTCAGGATAGCAGTCTTTATGCGGTCAACATCGACTGATCTTCATACCAGATTAACGATACATCCCACAATTTTATCCACATTATCCACATTTTGTCCACGATTTTATCCACATTTATCCACATCCACACATTCAAATTTTATCCACGTAGTCAAGGAAACAATGACACTTTTTTAGGATATCACATTTTAATGGCAGAGCATACAGAAATTTTTTGATGCATCGGATAGATCAAATCATTGAATATATCCTTATCCAAAAAGAGATAACAATGTTCAACATGATGTATCAACTAACATAAACTTATCCTCAGTGAACACATTTGATTGTCATGAGGATATTTACAAAGGACAAGTTGACAACTTGGCTTCAGATATAACCTGAAAATGTTTTCCATTTGGCTTAGTGATATCGGCAACTGGACTTTATGTTTCAGAATTAATCTGCTGTATTTTATCCATTGCAGATGATTACATAGTGTAAATGTAAATGAATTGTGTCATACCGAATTGTTAGAAAAATGAATTGTTAGAATGAATAAAGTGAATAAAATGAATGAAATGAATAAAATGAAGAAATGAATTGTTAGAAATCAAGAAATGCAAATGAAAATTACATAGTGACATACCGAGTTTCGAAGAATATTTCACCTTGCGGAAAGATGAGCATGTAGAAATTGAGATATGTGACACGATGGAATGACGCTTTTTTAGCATTCGCGAAGAACGGATCTGGACGCCAGAGTTTTCTGAATGAGAGAACTTAATGTCAATTGGATTCTTTCACGATTTCGTATCATAACTGGTTGCTGTCAGGAATTTCCTTTGCTGAATGCGCTTGATTTCAAAAATGTTTTGATTGAAGGTGTTAAAAGTAATGAGAAAATTACCTTTGGTGTTACAATTNCGATTTCGTATCATAACTGGTTGCTGTCAGGATTTTCCTTTGCTGAATGCGCTTGATTTCACGAATCTTTTCATCGAAAGTGTTAAAAGTAATGAGAAAATTACCTTTGGTGTTACAATTATATTCAGAACCTTTGATTTCACTCTATCACAGGACAGTTCACTCGGTGAGAAAATTTCATTTGACCTAATAGAGGCCAATAACATCGGTCAAACATTCAAGAACATTGAGTTCCGTTAGATCTGTCCAATAGAAATGGTGAAAACGAATGGTAACCAACTTCAAAAAAGTTTCTTCATTGATCATAATCGGTCGGTCAAAACCATGCGCTAACCGTGGATCTCGCCATGCCATTCTCAGCCAAACGTCCATATCATAATCCTGAAAATTGCCTTTAATCCAGCAAATAATCCCGGCATTGTGCGCAAATTCAGTGCGAGTTTTATCGACCAACGTGTTGATTGACAATACTGAACGTAATCGTCTCACCATTGTTGTTAACTCGAAATTCGATATTGACTGCACATCGATTCCAACTCTTACGTCAATAATTTGTCCCGTGAAAAGTGTTGGTGGTGTCCTGAGAAATCGTGAGAATTAACCGGATCATAAATCTTGAAGTTGTATAGCGAAAGAAACCGAGAACTCCGGTCAAACATCCGAAAATATATCAATTATCAAACTTTTTTGTACAATATCAACTACCAACTCTTAGTTTACGAATGTCTTTGCACAATAATCATATAATCGTTAACATTTTATCAGAATGAAACTATAAATGGGTTTAGTAGTTCATGCATAAACTGTACTATAATATAAATGAATTATTATATCAGAGAAAATTGAATGGATTAAAAGTTCGGTTGAATTTTACAAATACTATCTGAATTCGGAACCTTCG